TGTGTGTGTGTGTGTGTGTGTGTGTGTGTGCGTGCGTGTGCGTCGGTGCAGCAGATGCTGCAGCCCTCCTCGTGCACAGCGCCTCTCTGTCTCCGGTGCGCCTGCGTGTTTGAGCCCACCGAGCAGCAGCGCGTGCGCTGGCCGGACCGGCGGTGGGACGAACAGAGGGGGGAATACCCGGGCTGTGTGGGCTCGTCGGTAACGGCAGCAGTAACGGTGACGTGATGCCGCGCGGGATCACGGTACCGTAAGAGCAGCAGCAGAGGAGGAGGAGGAAGAGGAGGAAGAGGAGGACGGACGGACGCTAGAGGCAGAGCCGAGGAGGATGCAGCAGTGACGGCCTGATCGGTACCGGGAGGAGGGGAACGCATCCGACTGTGCACCGGAGCCCGCTGCTGGTACCGACCCGACCGGATCTGATGTGAAGCTGCGGGGATGCACGGGTAGGCAGGGAGGAGGCGCGAGGAGCGGAGCGACCCGACGGCACAAAACGGAGGAGAGCGCGCGAGGTGGAGGAGGAGGAGGGGGGAGGATGAATCCGGCGGATGGAGGAGGAGAATCGGGCCCGGACGGCCTGGCGACGGCAGGTGGGGTGTGAGCGCGTGCGTGTTAGGGAGTGTGTGGTGGGAGCTGCTGTCGCCATGATGCCTCAACATCCGCCCATTGACGGTGTGTGTGAGCTCTGCTACTATCAGTGTGTGTGTGTGTGTGTGTGCGTGTGTGTGTGTGTGTGTGTTGGGGGGTGGAGGGTTCGACCAAGGAGGATTGTGGGAAGGCCTGCTGGCTCTTTGAACGTGTGTGATGTAATGTGGTGTGCATGAATATTTGTATAAAACACACTCCAGGTGCTGCAGACCCTGCAGGTGGGGTCCCTCTTCTATAGCACCCCCCCCCCCCCCCCCACACACACACCCCCCTGAACTGGACCAGAGTGTTGGATTTATCAGAGCTGACACATCTGATCAAAGTTTAGATTAAAAAAATAAATTAAAAAAAAGAAAGAATAGTTTATTTTAAGCATAAAAAACTAAAGTCACCTGCAGGTTTGCAAGAATCATAGTTAAAAAAATGTATTTATGAAACAATCAACACAAACCTACTTTTCTTTGCTTCCACGCAGGAGACAACAATTTTCACAGCTGAATGATCCGGATGATTAATTTTTTTCTTATTTTCTCATTAATCGATTACTTGCCGGCCTATAAAATGCTGAAACTGTTATGATGCTTGCAGCGGAGAGCCGCTGGTTAAATGGCATTTTGTCAAACCGAAGCACAAAGATTTTCATTCACCACAAAGAAAACAAACATTTGAACGGAACAAGCGGCGTTTAATATCTTTTTAAATCACTGGATTGATGCTGTTCCAAAAAAAAAACACTAAAAAAGTTCCAGACAATTGGTTTTATTTAGACCAACTTTCCTTCGTAGCAAACTATAATATTCAGCCTTATATATAATTTTTCATGTTGTTTAATTAAAATCAGGTTTGTTTCTGCTGTTCACTGAAAAGTCTGATTATAAACTTTATAGGACTAAAAGTGGTTTACGAGTCCAAACGTCCCTACGTCTGAACCAGAATCAGACGTTCGGTGTGGCGTTTAAAGAAGAAGAAGTTGGGCCCTGAAAGAGCAGAACTGGATTCATCCAGGATTTCTGCTGCTACATCAGTGTTACAAGATCAAACTATTAACAATTCATGAGAGATGAACACAACCATGAGCTGAACTGAACAAAACAAACTGTTAGAAGACTGGATCATTGTCCGGGTGCAGGTCCCTTAGGTCCAAATACCCCAGAATGGCAAACATTGGAGTTTAACTGTGGGACTACATCAATGTTCAAACAGTTTGCTTGCAAAGGTGTTTTAACAGTTTATTTACAGGGTGCTTTTATTGTGAAAAATCAGATATTTTAATAACCAATAACGCTTTTACTGTCCGGCAGCTGGTTTACTGTCCAGAAAGACTTGAAACACCCGAGGGGCATTTATTTGTAGGTAAATTACTTTTATTTTTTTATTTCAATTTCAGCCAAGAGTTTCACCATAATAGCTTCAGGTGGTTTTACTGTGGACTATGTTTCTAACAAGTGAGGAGGGTGTGATAGGAATATGGAAGGAGTATTTTGAGGAGCTAATGAATGAAGAGAATGAAAGAAAAAGTAGAGTAGAGATCATAGAAAGTGTGGACCAAGAAGTGGGAAAGATTAGTGAGGGTGAAGTTCGGAAAGCCCTGAGAAGAATGACTATAGAGAAGGCAGTATTCATTCAACCTTTATTTATGCAGGCTAGTCTCATTGAGCCATGAGGACTCATTTACAAGAGAGACCTGTTCCAGACAGAACACATGAAGTACAGAAAGTAGGACCTGATGACATACCAGTGGAAATTTGGAAATGTCTTGGAGAGATGGAAGTGAGCTCAAATATTCAATGGCATATTTGAGGGTGAGAAAAGGCTTGATGAATGGAGAAGCAGCCCATTTTTAAGAACAAGGGTGATGTACAAAGTTGTAGCAACTACAGGGGAATTAAGTTGATGAGTCATACCATGAAGGTCTGGGAGAGCTGTGGAAGGAAGCAAGACTTAAATGAAAGGTGACTATCTGTGAGCAGCAGTATGGTTTCATGCCAAGAAAGAGCAACACAGATGCCATCTTTGCTTTGAGAATGCTGAAGGAGAAGTACAGAGAGGGTCAGAAAGAACTTCATTGTCTCTTTGAGGATTTAGAAAAAGCATATGACATGGTGCCGAGGGAGGTGGTGTGGTATGGCATGAGGAAATCTGGAGTGGCAGAGAAGTATGTTAGACTGGTACAGGACATGTACGAGGACAGCAGGACAGTGCTGAGATGTGCTGCAGGAGCAGTGATGTAGTATACGTGATACTTGGGTATGCGGAGTATGCCCACTAGAAAAGCTTGGGAATTTCAGTATACCAAATTAAAAGTGCCCAGTGATACATGACATATTATTAGACACATGTCACTGATACTTTAAACGGCAGTTAAATGCTTCTGTAACAATCTATCGGTATGCAGCGCTTTGCTTTGATACCGTTTTATGAATTCTATAACATGTTTTTAATACAAAGCCAACTGTTGCACAAAATTTGTTGTTCATTTATTCAAATATAAGCATCAGAGAAATTTGGAAATGTTCAATATGCTTAAAAACATCATAATAAATTGAAGATTACATTGTACTAACCGGTGTACTTTGGTTTCTAAGCACAGAATACCCACTACAAAAATGTAGACTATACATACCACTGTGTAGGAGTGACGGATAGCTTCAAGGTGGAGGAGGGAGTGCATCAAGGATTGGCTCTGAGCCCCCTCTTGTTTGCTCTGGTGATGGACCGATTAACAGATGAGGTCAGGCAGGAATTCCCGTGGACTATGATGTTTGCAGATGACATTGTGATCTGTGGTGAGAACAGGGAACACATGGAAGAGAACTTGGAGAGGTGCACTTGAAAGAAGAGGAATGAAAGTCAGTCGTAGTAAGGCAGAGTGCATGCGTGTGAATGAGAGGGAGGCTGGTGGAAGAGTGAGGCTACAAGGAGCAGAGGTCACAAAGGTGCAGGACTTCAAGTACTTGGGGTCCACTGTCCAGGAAAATGGAGAATGTAGTAAAGAAGAGTATCCAGGCAGGATGGAGTGGATGGAGAAAAGTTTCAGGGGTGATTTGTGACAAAAGGGTGTCAGCAAAGGTCAAAGAAAAAGTTTACAAGACAGTGGTGAGACCAGTTATGTTGTTAGGTCTGGAGACAGTGGTATTGACAAAAAGACAGGAAAAAGAACTGGAAGTGAAATAAATGAAGATGTTGAGGTTCTCCTTAGGAGTGACAAGGATGGATAAGATTAGGAATGAGATCATCAGAGGTACAGCACAAGTTGAAGGACTGGGAGATAAACACAGAGAGGCCAGACTGAGATGGTTTGGACATGTCCAGAGGAGGGACAGTGGATATACTGGTAGAAAGATGTTAGAAATGCAGCTGCCAGGAAAAAGACAAAGAGGAGATATATGGATGCAGTTAGAGAGGACATGGAGGTAGTTGGAGTGAGGACAGAGTGAGATGGAGGAGGATGACTCGATGTGGAGACCCCTGAAGAGGGAAAAGTCAAAAGAAGAAGACAGTAAATGTTTATTAGAAAACACGAGAAATTTTAATCTTAAACAGTGTACTTTACCTGTGAATGAGTTAAAGTGCCTTTATTGTGAAGGAGCTGAAGGACTTATTTTAAAGAAACACAGTGACAAACTTGTTTAGAGCTGGAAGATTTGATGTGAAGACACACAGTCTTTTAATATGAAGGAGCTGAGGACATTTAAATGCAAGATGACTCTTTTAGATGCAACTCCTCTGAGGCAGCCATAGCCAAAGCGGTTCAAAACATCAAAGTTCATGCTCAATAATCCAGGTAGAAAATCCAAAAAAGTTCAGTCAGGTCATCTGGACTGTTTCTTTTTTTTGTTGAGACGTTTCGTCTGAAGAGTCGACGGGGGAGAGGGCGGGCCCGGGAAACCATCTTATCACCAGCAAACTGGTTGGTCCACTATGTGCTGCTTGTGGGACTGAGATTGTTTGTGGCTCCTCAGACTGATGGAAGTCCTTTGGATGAAGGGTGAAACCTCTCAACAACAACAAAAAAGAAACGTATTGAATTTTGTTGGATCTTTTTACCTGGATTGCTGAGCATGAACTTTGATCCTTTTTAGATTATTATTTTTTTCTTTTTGGTGAACCAGTTTATGAGCTTTTAAACTGAAAGAGGCACATAATTCAGTGGAAAAACAACAAACCTTCTTGTCCAGAGTGGCAGAGAAAGGCCCGAGACGTGTTTCAGTTCACAGAGAAATGATCCTGGCTCGTTGCTTCTGGTCTTGCATGAGTCTTCATACCCTTCAGGCTGACATTTTAGAGACTCAGGACATTGTGGTGGAACGTATTCATTAGTTTTTGTTGCGTAATCAGTTTGATGAGTCCTGACAGGCTGACAGCAAGTTTCTCCGAAGGCTTTTCATCCGCTCTGAGCAGCGTCTATTTTAGGCTTTTACACTGACTCACAGAAAGTGAGGGTTTTTGTTCAGGGAGGTGAAAGGAAGTCCCTTCTCCGATACCTGACTGGCAGCTGATCGAGGATCAATCAAGTCCCGACAGTCAGGGGCAGTGTGAGCATGCTGTTTTACTCTCCAGCAGATTACAAACGCCCACCAGTCAGTCATCAGTGGCTGCAGACAGTTAGCTTCTGCTGGATCTTCACAGCGCTCCAACACGTCTGTGGGAGCTGCACAGGAAAGCAGCATCCATCATCTCCTTTGTTCTGCTAATTCACACCGCAAAGAGCGGATGGTGGGACGCAAAGAGCGAGGAGTTTAACTTGGTTACCAGCTGAGATGAAGAACTGCCTGCTCTCTGAGTTTTTAGTGAAAAATTTATCACAGAAATAAAATTCCCTCACAGACAGTAACTATATTGAGAAATAGGTGCAGGTACCTGGACTTCGGTGAAATTCTTTGATTCCCCAAACAATCTTAGGGTTCTAAAATTATTCAAATCCAACCTTGAGTGAACAAAA